AAGATGGAGTTGTAATCTCCCAAAGAAAGTATGCTCTTGATATATTACAAGAAACAAACATGATTGATTGCATACTGATAGACAGTCCCATGACCCAAACCAGAAATTAAGGACAGAAGAATGTGAATTATTCTCCGATCCAAAGAGGTATAGGAGGCTGGTTGGAAAACTAATTTATCTTACTATTACAAGGCTAGATATATCCTTTGTAGTTGGAGTGGTTAGTCAGTTCATGCAGACTCCATGTGTTGACCATTGGAATGCCCTCATTTGCATTCTAAGGTATGTCAAAAAGCCTCTCAGTGAAGAATTGTTATATAAAGGAAGCATTCAGGTCTCTAGGTATTGTGATGTTGATTGGGCAAGTTCGCCTATTAATAGAAGGTCTACTACAGAAAATTGTGTTTTTCTGGGAAGAAACATTATTTCATGGAAAAGTAAGAAACAAAATGTAGTAGCTCAGCTAAAGCCGAGTATAGGGTAATGACGTCACTAACATGTGAACTTATATGGGTGAAACAATTCTTTCAAGAGCTTAACTTCTTTGACATCCATACTATGAAGATGTATTGGGATAGTCAAAATCAAATCCATTGTTTCATGTGAGGACTAAACATATAGAAATTGATTGTCATTTTGTTTGTAAAAAGTTGTTGACTAAAGAAATATGTACTGAGTTTGTTGGGTCAAACGATCATCCTCGGATTGAGTTTATTTATTCCAAGCTTGGTACATACAATTTGTATGCTCCAATTTGAGGGGAGTGTTAGAATATTTACTCTATTTATCATCATTATATGGTGTCTAGTATATATATAATAGTACCTAGGTCTGCGGCTAGGGTTATCTTATTTATCATGTACTTTTGTATTAGAACTTTCTTATATATAGAATGATAGTGAGAGGGATCTTTCAAGTTCTCGAGAATTATTTTACAGTTTCCATCTCAAGTCATCTAATCAAGTGGAAGTTGTCGTTCTCGGGCCAGTAGCTTTGAAAGCTTAAAAGAAGGATTATATTCCGAGTCTATCAAATACAAATGCAAGCTAAGGAAGTTTGGAAGCTATAGTTATAGTATTTTAATATCAATAGAGCCTAGTAAAATTCTTTTTTCTTTCCTTCTTAAGATTTTGTTTACTTGAATGGATTTGAGGGAGAGTGATTGAGGGGATTTGAGAGGATTTGAAGATAAATTTTTTTGTTGTTTATTTGAGTAGATTTGGAGGTAAGAAAGAATAGATTTGGAAGTAAAATTTGTGAGAATTAATGTAGGATTTGATTGACGTGACAGATTAAAAAAATTTACTTCCAAATTCACTCTCACTTATCTCCAAATTCACTCAATTAAACAACAACAAAATTTATCTTCAAATCTCCTCAATTACTCTCTCCCAAATCTATTAAGTGAACAAAGCCTAAATCTCAGAAAAAGAAAAGGGCTGGTGAACGAGTCTAACTAAGATTCAACTTGAATGAAGTTTTTGTTGTTATTGGACAGAATTGTTACCCTTTTTTCATGCCTCAATTTTCAGAATATGATTATGAGCTGCGGAGGAAGGTTTCTCATTCAGTGTGTCAAAACCGACTTTTAAGAAACAAAAGTGGAACAAATAACCTCGGAGATATGGATAGAGAGGCATTCCTCGTCCCAACCAAATCAACGGGTAAAGATGGCGCAACCAAATCAACCATGTTCTATCAAGACTGGGAGTAGTTGATGAATGCGTAAGCGTAGTTGCTTTCATAACTATATATTATACCATACCTTCTTCTACGTAGTGTTATAGTGCTGACATTGATTAAGTTACTTAATTATCCTTGACTATGTTATCAGGATGATACCATAAATTTATTCACATATGCGGTACTAAGGTTGACTCCCCATGCTTTATCATATGGATCAAGTTCATAGTTCTACTTAAGGAAAGGAAGTACTGTATCAAATGTTGCCACTGAGTCTAATTCGACCTATCCAAATTCCCTGTCTGAAAGTTTATATGGCATATCTGATATATCATCTGGTGAAGATAATACTTACATAATTGAATAAGAATATTGTTTAAAAACTTATTGATGACATATTGGCTTAGCACGATATATTAACACACTACTAATTTAAATAATGTAGTAAAATAGCAAATCAAAATAAATAAACTAATTAAACATAAAACTAAAATTGTGACCCAATTATTTATAAATTCATTAATGTTATTAAAGTTGTTAAAACATTTTAGAAATGAGTTAATTTCTTCAAATCATTTGAGTCATGGTAAATCGTTGATTACATCGACTCACCTTGCTTTTTCTGGTTGATTACACAAAGCAGTCCTGGTTAGTACAAAAAACCACTTCTGATTATCCCGTCTATCAAAAATAATCTTTAACTTAGTTTTATTATTTTTTGGTAACCATTTCTAGAATTGTTTATTAATTAGTTTCTCCTAATGATTTAGCTATAGCGGTAATAGACATTTTAGTTCTAATGAACAACTATGCACTTTAGAATTCTTTGCATTTAGATATTTCTTCAAACCAACACTACTATAAAAGAATATAAAGACCCTAGATAACCATTGTCTCTCCTTCTAGATTTTCAGAAAGGAATATTGTAAAAGTGGTCTTCACTCATATTTTCTGGTCCCTTAACCTGGAAAGGATGGCTACCTATCCTTTTCAAAAACGCTATTTCAGCCTGCTATGTCTCTTCTACACTAAAATAATCAACTATTCTTAGTAGATAATCAATTATCAAGTTTCAATGTATCATTTTTTCGGTAATAATCAATTATCAATAATGATTTAGGTTATTTCTAACCTTATTCCAAAATTTGAAATTTCTTCAAGAATAGTCAATTATCAAGGACAATAATCAATTATCCCCTTTCGAAATCTCATGAATCTTAACTTTTCTTCCAATTTTCAGGGTTTTAAAGTTCTTTTTCGATTCCCATGGATCTTACACTCAATCATTAATCTTCAACCCTAAAAAATTGTAAACGGTAAACTCTCAACCTTAAAACACCCTTAATCCTAAAACCTAAAACACAAAACCTTCCACTTTCAACTCCAAAAAAATCCTCAACCTTCAAATATATATATATATATATATATATATATTATATATATCTAGATATATAATATATATATATATATATATAAAATACAAGTGCTTGGACTTTGGAACTACCTTCTTGTTTAAGGTGTTACTCCCTCCACCACCACACTTTTCTTTCATCTCCTTAAATTTTTTTAATTCCAATTCTATTTTTAGGTTAAAACTTTTTTCTTTTACTATTTAAGATTTTTTAATTAATTTAAAAACCTTATTTCTACTCATTTTTGTTATGCGGTTGCACCCTTACACTCCACTCATCTCTCACATATTTCTCTCTTTCTCTGTTTCCGTTTCACTTCCTCTCATTTCTTCTTCCTGTTTGTTGTAGGTGTTGCAAACATATACTAAATAAGTAGAAATAGAATTTTAAAATTAATTAAAAAATGTTAAATAGTAAAAATAAAAAAGTTTTAACTTAAGGATAAAATTGAAATTATAAGAATTTGGGAAAAGGGAGGAAACATGCTGTGATGGTGAAGGAAGCAACACCGGCTTGTTTATTGCCACCAAGATTGTAAATCATTTAAAAATGAGTATTTATGAATATATTGGGAGAAATTATTAATATTAGGATTTGAGGTAACATTCATATATATATATATATATATATATATATATATATATATATATATATATAAAAGTAAAAGGGGTGAGTGTTAGGTTTTAAAGTAAAAATGAGTAAGATTAATACATAAGTAGAGAGATTATTTACATTCTATGTGTGTTTAGATATATATAACTAACTAAGTATGAGTTTGAACACTCCTATAGGATAAAAATGAATCATATGTCTAGTACATAAGGAGAAGGATTTATGGTTTTGGGATCCTAAACCTTCACCCCTCAATCCTAAAAAAAACCCAACCATAAAAAATCATAAATCCTAAAAAATCCTCAACTCTAAAATCTAAAACCTAAAACCCTCATATATGAAAAATGCAAATGCTTTGACTTTAGAACTACCTTCTAGTTTATAGACACCAAGATTGTAAATCATCTCCTTCTTTTTGCTAAAATATTTCCTATAAAACATAACCCAAGGGTCGAAATATATACGTTGTACCCTTTCTAAATAAACCAAGTTTTGCAATATATCCTTAGTGATTCACTAAAGTTGGAATGTCCTTCACCTTTAGTCATATTACTTTGTATGAACTATAAGTTTTTTTTTTTCATTACAACTTTAATATTTAAATAGGAAAACATCCAACTCTTTCAATTTCCAATTAAATGATTTTTTGAAATCAAATACCCAATTAAATTCATTCGCATAACAGTGAGATCAAATTACAAAATAAGCAATCATTTATATTTCATAGATCAAGCCATTCAATTTTTATTTAAATTTTAATTCATCCACTGTGGAAAAACTTTAAATTGGTGAATAAGGTGCAATAGATTAATCATAATTTCATTATACACAGCAGAAATATAAAATCTCTAAATTTTAAAGATTCATTTTCATCTCGAAAGACCTCACTCGCGAAAAGTAAACTAACTTATCTTATTTATTTTGGGTCTTAAATACACTATCATTGTTACATAAAACAATATCACTTTGACTTATGATAAACTTTTTATTTTTAAAAGAAATTAAAATAAAAATAATTAAAAAAATATTTAAAATTTTTTAAAAATCATAATAGATTACACTGTTAGTACGAAATTAATTTCGATGATCTAATTGTTTTAATTTTTTAAAATAAAAATATTAAAAAAATAAAAAATATATTTGAGAAAATATACGAAACCATCTAAATGATTAAATCTAATAAATAATATTTACATAAGGGTCTAGGGTTTTTTAAATGGGTAAATTAAAAAAATCTTAATTTTTGTAGACAAATAAAAAAGACATGATATATCTACACATTCATTTTCTTTTTTCAAATGTATTTTCATCGCGCAGCCATCAGCATCCCTTTTTGCCCTTTCATGGATGAAATCCAGATGGAACTTCAGCGCTCAACTCCCTTCATGGCTGGATTCTCTGAATATACCCTTCACCATGAAGGCACCAACTTTTCAAAACCCATTTCTTACAACCTCAAAATCTGTCCTCAACCATACAGAGTTGAGCTCTCTTCTCTCGGTTTGCGGCAGAGATGGAAATCTTAATCTCGGTTCTTCCATCCATGCCCGTATCATCAAGCAACCTCCATTTTACGATTCTGATAGCTCCCTCCGCAATGCCCTTTTTGTTTGGAACTCTCTCCTTTCTGTGTATACGAAATGCGGTCAACTGCAGGATGCCGTTAAGTTGTTTGATCACATGCCTGTGAAAGATACCGTGTCATGGAATACAATGATTTCTGGGTTTTTAAGGAACAGGGATCTTGACACGGGTTTTAGGTTGTTTAAGCAAACGAGTGAGTCAAGGACAGTGTGTTGTCGATTTGACAAAGCAACACTGAGTACAATGTTGTCAGCTTGTGATGGACTGGAGTTCTCTGGTGCGACCAAAATGGTCCATGGTTTGGTTTTTGTTGGTGGGTTTGAGAGGGAAGTCACGGTGGGGAATGCACTTATAACATCATATTTTAAATGTGGGTGTTTTAGCGAAGGTAAGCAGGTTTTTTATGAGATGCTTGAGAGGAATGTTATAACATGGACGGCAGTGATATCTGGCCTCGCAAAAAGTGAATTTTATGAGGATGGCTTGAGATTGTTCAATCAAATGCGTTGCGGGCCAGTCAGTCCTAACTCTTTGACATATTTGAGTGCGCTCATGGCTTGTTCAGGCTTACAAGCATTATCGGATGGCCGTAAAATACATGGTATGCTATGGAAATTGGGAATGCAGTCGGATTTATGCATTGAAAGTGCTTTGATGGATTTGTATTCTAAGTGTGGCAGTTTGGAAGCAGCATGGCAGATTTTTGAGTTTGCCGAGGAACTTGACGAGGTTTCCTTGACTGTAATACTTGTAGCTTTCACGCAAAATGGACTTGAGGAGGAAGCTATCCAGATATTTATGAGAATGGTGAAATTGGGAATTGAAGTTGACCCCAACATGGTTTCTGCCATTCTCGGGGTATTTGTTCTAGGTACTTCTTTGACTTTCGGTAAGCAGATTCACTCTTTAATTATAAAGAAGAACTTCAGTCAAAATCTGTTTGTTAGTAACGGACTCATAAACATGTACTCCAAGTGTGGAGATTTGTACGACTCACTGCAAGTCTTTCGTGAGATGACTCAAAAGAATTCGGTTTCATGGAACTCTGTGATTGCAGCTTATGCTCGCTATGGGGATGGTTTCAGAGCGCTTCAATTTTACGATGCTATGAGAGTGGACGGAATAGCACCAACAGATGTTACATTTTTGTCATTGCTTCATGCATGCAGTCATGCAGGTTTAGTTGAGAAGGGCATGGAGTTTCTGGAATCTATGACTAAAGATCATGGGTTAAGTCCACGGTCCGAACATTATGCCTGTGTTGTTGACATGTTGGGGAGGGCTGGACTTCTTAAGGAAGCTAAAAGATTTATTGAGGGATTGCCTGAGAATCCTGGTGTCCTGGTTTGGCAAGCATTGCTTGGTGCTTGTGGCATACATGGTGATTCTGAAATGGGTAAATATGCTGCTGATCAACTATTCTTGGCTACACCAGATAGCCCAGCTCCTTACGTGTTGATGGCCAACATTTATTCTAGTGAAGGGAAATGGAAAGAGAGAGCACGTGCCATTAAGAGAATGAAAGAGATGGGCGTAGCAAAAGAAGTGGGTATTAGTTGGATTGAAATCGAAAAGAAAGTAAATAGCTTCGTAGCAGGGGATAAAATGCATCCACAAGCTGATGTTATATTCTGCCTCTTGTCCGTGTTATTGGAACACCTAAAAGATGAAGGTTATGTTCCTGATAAAAGGTGTATTCTCTATTACTTGGATCAGGATAAAATGGATTAGTCAGCAAATATACTAATGGTTCATTTGCCAGTGAGGACCCTATTGAGTTTAGTCAGAAAACTAGCCATCCTAGAGCTTTGTTTGAATTTTTGTGGATCAGGGATGTCATGTTTGAGGTTGCAATTCACTGTTTAATTAATTTATCATTGGTTGTTACAAGCATGCTGTTTAGAAATAATTATTGATAGAGAAAAACAAGTCTCTCGGTATTTTTTAAATATTTGTATTATAAGAGAAGTTATTAATATTTGTAAATTAATCTTAAATATTTTTATTATAACAAAAGTTATTAATATTTACAAATTATTTAAATCAATGTATAAATTAGGTTACAAGACCTGATTGTTTACTTATCGAACAAAAGGAACCAACTTCTACATTGACAGGGTATCTTAAATAAAGAATGTGCAATGTTGTTGCTATACCAAAGGAGGTCCAAGCTTAAACAATTTGACCCTTACTCCTACAATATACAATTAATGTACGATAAATGAATGTTTTACTGGTTCCTCTTGGTCCATCCACAAAAAAAATACCTGAGTTGGATACAATGGATTAAATCTAAAATGGTACTGAAAGCAATGAGTTGGGCATGACTCAATCTATGTACATTGTCAATATTTTCATTTGGTATCTATATTGATAACTATTCTTGTATAATTATTGGTACTCAAGTAGTTTCAAATGCATCAGAAGATAAAGTTAGCAAATCAAAATCCCTATTATTTTACCGTGCTGAATTAAAAGGTCATTTAAATCCCTCAATAACATAGGAACGAAGTTCATGCTTGTGAAGTGTTGGTTGAAGTATAATCTTCTAGCATAAAGGTATAGAACTTATTCTAAAGACTTCTTCTAACATGAATTGGTTTAAAAAAAAAGAAATATGGTCACAAATAATCTCCTTAAAGAATTTGAAAAGTTGATGCTTCAACCAAACATTCATGAATACTATTGTTACTTAAAAAAAATCTCCATTTCTTAGCTTTCTTTTTAAATGTGGGACAATATGTTTCATTTGGTGATAATGGGTATTCCCAACTGGTTAGTTCTCCTATGTGGGAAAGCAAAATACACAAGAGCTTAACTTCTTCAGAAAGAGATCTAATATAAATTTGACCAATAACTTCTTGTTTGACCTTCTTTAATCATTTTGTTTGTAATTCCAACAATAATGCTTTGGAACTTCTCTATAACAAAATCTTCTAGAATGTATATCTCTTACATTGAAAGCGAAAAATTGTGTTACATGGTTTTGGAGTTGTTATCATTTAACATGTTATTGATGTTTTGATGTTTATAAAATCATACCTGATGTCGATTTGGTAAATGGATTTGCAATCTTTCAACACATGGATTCGTTCAATAAATTGTAAATCTCAAACACAAATTCATTTATCACGATATTGTTGGACTACGTCTATATAGATCATTTATAAATCTCCATTGCTGCTCGATCTTGTAAACATATTTATGGATTGAAAATAAAGAGTAATTAATGTATATAAAATGATATAAAAAAAATAGTAGAACAACATTCATTTGTGTATTTAATATTTTTTAAGGTACTGGAACAACATTCAACACGGCGGGACGTGGTGGACGAAGGTTACTGCGGTGGTGGAGGAAACCAAAGACCTAACGACGACGGTAGAGAAGACCCATTTTTTGACCGAAAAATGCCCAAACCTCGGGGAAAGGAGACACTTTTACTCCATCCAAGCAAGACACTCCTTCCCATAAGAAGAACTTCAACAAGTGAAGGAAATGACACCGCTTCAAATGGTGGTCGAGAATGCAAGAGAGGATGGAATGCGAAAACGATGGTGGAGCAACGGTGGAGATGACAAACAAGAAAGGAAACCTCTTCTTATAAAACATAATGATATTTTGACAACATTTTAACATCATCTACATATGTGATTGATTGGTCCATGTTGATGTTTATGATTATTATTATTGATTGTTGAGTAATTTTGAACCAATCACAGAATGACACGTAGATGATGTTAAAATGTTATAAAAAAATGTTATGAAAGTATCATAATCCTCTTACAAATCCATCGTTCGTTGTTTTTCTTTTCCAGAAACTAAGTATAGTAATAATAGTGGTTGTAGCGAGTTTAATATTTAAGAACATAAAGTTTGTTCTTGAGCTCAAATCCCTAGGTCTATCATGCAAAGAGGTTTTGAAAAGGTTTTAATTAATAGGAAAATGTTTTTTTAACAATTTTTTTTGTTTATGTGGTAGCTTGTGATTGGTCTATTTCAAATATACAGAACAATAAAATAGTGACACATAATCTATTGTCAAAATATTGTTAAAAAAAGTTGTTAAAATATCATGGTCCTATAAAGTGAGTTAGAATTTTAGCTTGTTCTTACTCTTTTAACTTGGGCCTTATTTTTTGTTTTCAAATGGTATGATTTTTAGTTTAGGAATAGGCTTTCTCATCTTTCATTTGAATGGATTGAATTTTAGAAATATATATATATATATATATATATATATAATTCTTTGGAAATTACATGACTTCAAAAAAAAAGTGGCATACCTTATCAAAATGTTTTCTTTTGGAGATGAATTCATTTTGCATTCATGTATTTAAGTTCTTTGCCTTTGCATCTGGAAGTTTAAATTATCCTACTGTATACTGTCTTAGTTTCATGCATTCATAAATTACATCTACATCCTTAACCCAATGCTCCTATACAGTTATATTCGTTAATATTGGTGATGTTAGTTTGAGTCCCACTATGTATTTATCCTATAATTCCAGAATTCATTTCTTATATCATTTCTAGATTTAAACCATTTTAGGTTTTATATTGCATGTGCTCTCCACATATCTTTGTCAATTAGGTTTATTTGCCTACATTATATCATTGTACATAGCATTCATACATTGAAGAAGTAAGAGAGAAATATATAAATACAAGTGACATGTACAATTTGACTAAGTAGATGTCATGTGAAAGTTCATGACAAAATGGCATGAAATGAAGTATCAAAATTAAGATGTTTTGAATGAATAGGAGTAGGTGTATTTGAATATGATGAAGAAACAAGTGTATTCTTATCTTAAAGTGTATTATTATCTTAAAACACATCACAAATAAAACATTATAATCCATTAACCTATTTTTATTGTTATTTTGGATTATTTTTAAGTATGTATTTTAAATTTCACCCTAAAAATATATAGATCTACAAAATTAAATTAATTTTTATAGTTAATGTATGATATAAATAATTAAACGTATTTATATAGTTTTTCTAACATCCTAAAATATAGCATTATACTATATAATAGTCATCACATATTCAGTATAATAGATCAGTCGACAAACAGAGTTATAAAGTTATTACAGTCATCTAATAACCATAAAAGAGACTTTATATTTACAAACCATCTATGATCAAAACTAGCTACAAGAATAACTAAAAGAAGTATAAGCATCCGCACCATCTCTATCCAAGGCCTGCTCTAGAAAGATCTCATCTCCCTCTGCTCATACCCACCGGATGATCATAGCAAAGAGAAGAAGCAAAGAACATACAAACACAATCACAAGAAAAAGGGTAAGCTAGAATACAACAATTAATGATATATTAACACATGTTAACATTCACACGAAAACCTATACCACATCAAACCAAACAACCCCTTTTATGCATGACAACCCTTTTGACTTGATCACCTAGATTAGATGAATATTGAACTATGACAGTTCATGTACTTGTTCTAGTGAAACAGCTGGCCCACCCCAAGCTACCACACAAGGTTAGTCTGTTATCACTCACCTTAGGCCAAGGTAAAGCCTCAAGACTAGGACCTCCTACTATTCTCACGACATGCCTCACCCTTCTCTACTTGAGAATGGATGACCATTAGAATGTCAGGATGAATTCCAAGACTGAGTTTCCCACATCATACTTACAATACTTAGAACCACCATCGAGAAGTTCCTCTTTGGAACTTTGTTCTACACCTTTGAAACCATTGATATTAATTCACATTCACACAGTACACCAATACTTGAGACTATTGACCATGCATTAAAGAAATAGAAACACAATTACAAGTCATCAAAAATCACCCAATAACACAATTTATTCATGGTATAATGATACTCATATTTAGGTAAGGAAAACAGCTTTGAAACTCTCACAAGTCCAAATGAACTTAAATTCACTATCCAACACCCTCTTAATGGACTTAAATTCACTTCAACCAAGCCTCACCATCACTTTTTTGCATAATAAACTAGATTTTACTGGTTTAATCACCTCACAAATCCAAATGGACTTCAAAACAACCCCTGAACATCCCTTTTTTCCAATCCAATGCTTACTAAAAAATCCACCTACCAAAACCAATTTCAAACTGCAAATTCCACAATGCAATCAATATTTCAAAAATTGACATACCCACTTCATCAATTTAAGCTACAAAACCAGTATGTAGTTTTCACACCTTCCCAACCATCATTATTAATACTATTTTATCTCAACAACACATTAAGTTTATCATATCATAACTCATAACAACAACCATAACTTCCTAATTCAAAAACACATCATAATGTAATCGCATTCAACATTTTTCGCAAATTTAACATCATAAATTACCATATAATCAAATACACACAATTCACAAATTTCAAACATCTTACAATATATATGAAAAGTAAATTAGCTTCCCTTATCGAAAATTTATTCTCTTTCACTAAAATTTCAAGATCACAAGACGCCGGATGAAAACTCCTTTTTGAAATCCTAACTCCCAGATTAGAACTCAAAAAGTCTCCTTCTCTTGCTCTCCTTTTCTCATGCCCACAACTTTCCATTACTCTAAGATTTAAAAAAAAAAAAAAAAAGAAAGAGAGAAGAGTGATGAGGGACACAAAAGAAAAATGGAAGAAGAAGAAAAGAGAGAAGAGAAAAGATAATATAGGAAAGGGTAAAAGAAGGAGAAGAGAAAGGTAAAAGGGGTTCTTAAAGTTTTTTTCTTTAAAAGAAAAGATTTTGAAAGTAAATATTTGTTCTATTTTTTATCCTTTAAAATTTCAAACCTAAAGGTATGCTTCCTAAATATTAAATAATTTCAATATATATATATATATATATATATATATATATA